GACAGCGACAGGACATCTGTGTTCTTGTCGGGTCAATCGCCAACGGCAGACGCAGTCACTTCAGCACAAGGTGTCACTGTGAGTCGCAACAGCATCTCTGGTCATGGAGTCACACACAGAGTCCTGGTGTTGGGAGGTCTGACCAGTCGATGAGCCATCATCTGTCAGACAAGAACAGAAGGCCATGAATCCAAGCAGCAGAGTGATCACTAAACAAGACACCAGTGACACAACTGGGATTTCTTACCCCTTTCCATTCCTCATATATCACTTAAAGATCTGCACAGCAATAACGTTAGTAAACCTTGTGTTTGATACCGTGCCTCAGCACATCGGGAATACGGCTTAAAGCGCGTCACAGAATATACTGTAAAGTGAATTGATTGTATATTTGGGGGTGAAATGTGGAATTATTTGTTTAATTATTTTGTATTCATTCAGTAATTCATTTATTCGAGGGATTATTACCGTCGGAAAGCAATCCAACAATCCACTAGCAATCGGGTTCCTACGAGGTCAGCGGTGGTGTGTGGAGAAAGGAGTCTGGTCAGAGGAGCCATCCTTCAGATGAGCTATTAACCCCGGCTGCTGTCTGTCTGTGCGGATACCGTGAAGCTATCGGAAAATGGAAGGATGTTTCTCCCGGTGTCGGGGCAAACGTCTCCCAGATTACTGTTCTGTCACCCTCCGCCTGTGCTCAGCACCTCACGGTGTTGGCCTCCGAGACACAATGTTTGTCACAGTCCCACAGCAGCGATCACTGTAATACACTGCCGGAGGATATTGAGACCTGATAAAATGATGGACACGTGTGTTTCCTTTCTTTTTGTCCACACGTCAGACAACCAGGTGCGTGTTACTGTATGTAATCTTTTACCTGTGTAATATTCCAGTTTCCTCAGAGAGTCGTCGAATGAAGACACTGTCAAAAGAAACACATACCATCCATTACCAGGTTAGAGGGGAATCTCATCCGATATCAGAGAACAGAACATTGTGATATTAACTAATCTGTGTGTGCAATATCAGATTACAGAACATTAATAATATCAAATACTCACTGTGTGTGTGAGATACCAGAGTACAGAACATTAATAATATCAAATACTCACTGTGTGTGTGAGATACCAGAGTACAGAACATTAATAATATCAAATACTCACTGTGTGTGTGAGATACCAGAGTACAGAACATTAATAATATCAAATATGTTGAGATTGTGGATTAAGCCTTAGATGGCACAATGTCTATTATTTCTCATTCGATGGCAGTTTTTACGGAAGACTTTCGTCTCTCATGGAATACTGAACCATGACTCGAATACCCAGAAAACTGATATTAACTCTTTCAGCCTTTTGGTCCCAGAATTTCATGCCATCGATGCGCTAATTAGCACACGACAGGAAATGTACTTGTTTTTTGTGCTGCGCTTATTGTGAGGTTTGAGATTAATCATCTTTGGCCCAACAAGGTGTGTGACGCCTGAGACCATCCTGTCAACAGGAACTGAAGCCCCACAGGGACAGCAAACACTCACTGTGGCTATTTTCACGCAATGTTTTCGGAAATTATCACAATTGTCCCTTCTCCGTTAGTTCGAACACAGATGGAGAATACCTACAGGAAGAGCGCGGCTGACTGGATCCTCTCCTGGGCAGATAGTCATCGATTTCTGCATAAATTCCTTGCTGTAATCCTCGGCCTCCGGTCCCTGGAATCACAAATAACAACCCTTGTATTTTACGGCACCTCATTCAAAAACATTCCTGAAACACTTGGGCTGTTTCTCGATAAAGTTTCTGTTCCACGTTTTGATTATTAGTCTCAAGTTTCAGCTCCGAGCCCCACATCGTCCTGTTATTAGCTTTCTGAGGCGCTATCCGGTGTGGATCGGGCTATATAAACACAAGTGTATACTGGTCATTACTATCCAGTACCTATGCAGTTCGTTTCCTCTCTCACAGTTGTCTCAACGTCTCTCTAACCACCATTTTCACCCGTCCCCACAGCCCCCACCCGTCCCCCAGAAGATCCTTGCCGTCAGTGTTAAACCCTGCGTTGTCTTGCTCCGCTCTAACTCTGTGACCTCCTTAAATCTGACGCGACTGCTCGGTGTGCCCTCGCCTGCTTCACCCGCCCGGCCCCACATGCCACGCAACTGGCACTCCGGCTTTCAGACTATCTGCCCGCACTCCATCCTGGAAGCCCACCCACTTGCCCCCTCGCTAATCCCTTTAAGGCTCCCTCTCAACACCTTCCTCTTTGACCACGACTCTGATCATCTTTCCCCCGCTCACCCGCACATGCCCCACAACCCCAGCTTGGCTGCCACCCACGACCGTCAAACACATTGGAACATCCTCCCCACATGAAAGGCGCCGTGTGAACGGCAATATGTATTTGGTGAACACAAACAGTACTGTGCCCGTAGCGTCAGCTCTGAGGGCACGTCGTCTGCGGCTAGCGGCTCACGCTGTACGTGCTCGTCTCTCACCGTGGCCACGTCTGGAGTTCGTAGCGATGCGTTACAGTGCTATGACGACTTGATGCGCGCAGTCGAGCACGCCTTATCGAGGACCAGCGAAGCAGGCCAGCAGGGCTCCCAGGGTTAGACACACGGCATCAGGTGTGGACATCACCGGGACTCTCTGCCCTCTGTGCCCTGTGCGACGCAAAACACAACAGTCACAAAACGGCAGTAAAACAACAACAATAATCCTTCCATGTGGTCCAGAGTCCTCCACATTGGGAGGGGCTTTATACAGTCACGCAACAACAACTTGCATTTCTGTAGCGCACCTAATGCAGGGTAACATCCTGGAGTGCTGGACGGTGGCCGAGCTCGACGCTGACCTGGGGAGAGGTGATGGTCGAAGAGAAATGATTTCAGGCGCGAACTGAAGATGGGGAAGGAAGGGGCCACGAGGACGGTGAGTGGGAGAACGTTCCAGCGTTTCCAGGCGTGAGGGCTGAAACAGCGGCCACCGATGGTGCGAATGTAGGCACGAGGGGCAAGCAGGAGGACAAGTCTGGAGGGCAATGGGGAGAGCTGAGGAGTGGGATTGAGACGAGGGGCCGAATGGCCTCCTGTGCTGTGTAATTGCGTGATTCTATGATTGTATGAAGCAGGAGACCCGAGCCAGACAGACAGAGCCAGCGGTTAGTGGGTGGGGAATAAGCACATCGGAGAGTTTGGGAGGTCCCGGGGCATGAAGGGATTTCAAAACGAGTGTGAGGATCTCGAAATCGATCGACTCGCTGACTGGGAGCCGTGGGGCCGGGATCGAACCGGTGTGACGGGGTTGTGGAGATCAGTGAGTGTGACAGGGAGTCAACGCAGCCTGGGGAGGGCTGATGGGGATACGGAGGTGAGTATGTGTGCTCGGGAACCATGGACTAGTGTGATGGGGGGACAGAGTTTGGTACAGGTCAGTGTGCGCACACCACGTGACAGGTTATCCTGTGAAGCGCCTTCAGGCAGTTTGATGACGTGATAAGGCGTTGTATCAAATGAGAATATGGTGATGATTATGTGTGTAAAGTGACCCCACAATTTACAGTAACATTACAGTAAAACGTGCCACATTGAGGGCGAAGGGGGAGCCTACCAGAACATATCACACCGGCGTCCTCTTTGTGTCCGCAGTCACTGAGGGGAGCGGATGAGGAGACGCAGTCCCACAGCGAGGATTCGCCTCCCGTACACTGCACCTCATCCAACCACACAGGCCCGGAGCCCTGCCCGGAGCCCGCCTCT